GTATGTATATATATGTATATTACCTAACAGTTTTGCATTTTCTGAGTTATAAGGCCACGTCTAATTCTTGCATGCAGGTTTACACAGGCCCATGATTATGAAAAACCCAGCGATTTGCGAGGCATAAAAATCATGAACAAAGCAGCGAGGAGTGTCCTGGGCGAGTTTCCGGAAATAGTTATTGCTTACGGGCAGAGTGACGAGTACAGGTATACATATAACTGATATACTGCGAATCCGAGCATATTGTTTTCCAAATACACCGGGATGTGAACCTTAGATATTTTCTTATAGACAATATGCCAATATCAAGGTCAGCCATAGATTGTATACTAACATAATGTTTAGTACTATATTCCTATATAATCTGTCTCGAAATGGACCTTGAAGGGACTTTTCGTTGCTTTCAACGTAGTTGCAGAACATGTGGTACTATAAAGCCTAGATGTTACGTTATACTGATGGGATTTTCATATCCTGTGTACCAAATAACAATTGTTACACATGAATCGCAGAGTAAAGTGACTTGTATGGCAAGTGCAATTCACGTGCGATTACAGGTGATCGTTATCTAAATTACAATATCCACGCTAGCCGCATCCGTAGCATGTGACTGATATCGGCTCCTTTACATACCATGCTTCACTCAGCTAGTTCGTTTTATTTCTGTGAGTTCCAGAGAAAGTGTCTCCTTCGATAACATGCGCAAAGACTTATCACCAAATTGCTTCCTCTACCATGTACCCACCCTAGTATGAATAAATCAATCGACGCCATCCCCGACCTAAAGCAAACAAGAATAGTGCTGCGCATAGATACCTACATGATGAGTCATGATCCTTTTACTCAATTTCTCACCCATCTACTGGTTTGCTGTCACGCTACCCCACTCAGTTTCATCTTCCCGCCGAAGTGCAAGATCTACGGGAGAAAGAAAAAGTAGGTATCGCGTACACCGCTCGGCTCAGAGTGTGAATGTACCTGTGCTTGGTTGACTGACTATGAGTTGTGCAGAGTTATCATATGCATGTGCAGGCGTATGACTGGTATAGTATAGTATCTGAAGCAGTTCACTGTATAGTACAGTACATGTTGTTCAAAAAGTTGGGTGATTGGAAAGCTCTGTGTTTTTTATCTGTATATGTGCTTGTCCTTTCTTATACAGGACAAAGCGTTTATGTGTGCCTGATTTGATCCTGATTTGTCAGAACCTCGTAGGAGAGCATTATCATGTACAGGTGCATCTAGCATGCTTTGTCTTGAAGCAAGTGATCGCATTCCAAATACACTTGGTCTGAAGTCTCTAAGGCCTGCTCAGCGTGACTGCCGATTATCTATGAACCCAATGTAGTATACGGATGCTTATATTGGATGTGTATGTGTTTGTACATATACACATGATATATTCTATTCTATTTTATATTTGGTGTTACATATACACTTTATATATTTTAATATACGCTATATGTGCTTCAGAATCAGCGTAGTTTGTCACTGCGTCACGATAGTCCGTTTATTGCTTACCCTTCACATCAATAGCTCTCGCACGCTCTGGCGTATACGTTGTATCATACAACATCGAGGACTGTACGCGTGTGGATCGGACCAGTAGTATATCACAGTGTGGTTCAGATATCGCGGGTCAAGCTTAAATGTATGCACACGGTATATGTTGATCGCGATGTCAATCGAAAGCCTTTCGCGCTTGCTAAGGCGAGTATTTAGTCCCTTATATTACAGATAGGTAGAATTAGGTCTCTTATATCACAGATAGGTGTACCTAAGTCCCTTAAATCACAGATAGGTGTACATTCATATTCGCTTTGACGAGTGCAGACGTGTGTCCGCAATAGGTAATGCTATTTGTTTCCACTGCCATCCTCACTATAACCCCGTTCCCCCGGGCGCGTGTACTAGACACACAGATACAATGCTTCGAGTTCTGCTCGCCTATTCATTGGTAAACGTTATGCCTGAAGTGGTCCTTGGGTTTCTTATCTACCCAAGAAACTCAAGACCCTACAACAGCCGCACCAGCCGAGTCATGCAATCATCCATAGTGTGTTCACTTTGTCACTTAACCCTATAACATCATCCCTAGTCCATCAAAAGTTTGTTCTATGTTTCGCATGTAGTCCTATATCTCCTCTGAAAGGCTTCACCCTGCCATCCTCATAGTAAGATCGTGTCGACGTGCACCAGCCTCTTCTCAAGCGCCTTCGTGTACTATTGGTCCGAGTACTTTCCCACAGTCAAGGTGAGTCGCATCGGTGCCTCAGCCTACACCCTGGGTGCGTAGAATTCACACACCAATCAATCGATACCATGTGTGCGTATCTTCTGGGCCTTTTGGCTTCGAATTTGTCGCAATGAAGGATTAAAAAAATTGACTAGGCAGTGGGTGAGGGTGTGAGAGAAGAAACAAGCGTCTATAAGCAGGTGCGAATGTGCTGTCCTGGGTACCATATAATACTGTGTGTTTGGATTCTATGTCGCCTGAATGATAGTTGAAGTCACCTGGGCTTCCTGAGCCAACCCACGATTGATCTATTTGGCCTTTGCTGGGTGTATGGTACTTTTGCGAAGCTTAATATTGTCTGTCACTCATGTCGCAGCTGAAGCAACCTCCGGTGTTTGATGGCCGAATGGTGTGCTACCCCACTCTACTGAACATGCGCGATTATTTGAACTGGCGCCAGGCTGACTGTATGTGTGATATGTCAAATCCTTCTCAGCCGAGTCTTAAGACAGTCGTTCCAGTGTAGGTAGTATGTATCCGTTTCTTCTTTAGCTCAGACCTTTCTCAGAAGATTCCCAGTCTGTATGTGTGATATGTCCAATCCTTCTCAGCCGAGTCTTAAGACAGTTGCATCATCAAATTGCTGTATCAGTCTTTGTGCCCTGGTTAAACGCAATACGTCAACTTCATCACGTAGTGTCTTCAGTTCCCCGGTTGTTGTAGCTTATTATTCCACTCTGCCATCGTTGTATGGAGTGCGTCGCATCAACACCTGACACACTTTCAATCTGTCCCCTTTTGTCTGAGTCAGGCCACATCAATAACCTGTACAACACGGTGTTCTGGGCGTTGGTGCAGAAGGGAGGGATGTCCCAGAAGGATGCGGAAGTCCACCTGAAGGTAGGGTGGGATTAGCGTAAAATGTGCCTCTATATTGGTATGGTGTTGTCCATGGCTGTGTTCCATGTGTGTCCTCACATCGCGAATGCTCGCAATCTGTTCGATAGCATACGCCGAGCGCTTTTCTATTGTGGGGTGTCAAGGGAGACACTCACATTCGGATATCCCATTTGTAGTTAGCATACGATATATATACATCTATCTCTTTAATTGTCTTTTGTACATGCCAGACTTATCCTTTGTGATAAATTCGAGTTTACAGAACACTGCTACGTACGACGGCAGTGGGCAGCAGCATGGCGGTTGATCGCTCGGATCACAGGGTTGCTACCTTGAATACATCCGAATGGCTCACACTGTCCGTTTCACCGTGAGTGGTGGCCGAAACGTTCACCCGTCTAGAGCTCGCATTGTCGTAAACATGTGCCTGTACCTCTTTGAACACACCACCACGGGCCTTACCCTCAATGGGTCTGTCAAAGTGTCCTGAAGCGAATAATCAATACTGTACGTTTGTGATGGTGTTTGCTTCAGGGATCACTTGCTGGCGATAAGAACGAAATTCTTTTCCAAAGGTTCGATATAAACTACAGCAAGCTACCCGAAGTGTACCGCAAAGGCACCACTCTGCATTGGGTCACGGTAGAAGAGACGCTTGTCCGTCAAGTCCC